GACATTGGATGTTTACAGGCTAAATTTCAGGACGTTAACGAATCTGTATTGCCAGTGCGAGGAATTTTCTAATCCTGCATTCGCTGGTATTATCCTCTCTATTTTTCGATCTCGAAGGGACTTAATCCCTTTTCAAAGCTCCTAAGAATGTTTTGGGGGGAAAAAATGTGTATGACAAGGAGAAAAATGAACCGAGAAGAGAAAGTAGCGGTATTACAAAAGGTAGAGGGACTATTGAAAGTGGGCAGAGGGCACAGGAGGGAAACGGCAAAGTGGCAGGAGTTGGGGGAGTGGTAGATGAAGGAGTCAGGAGTCAACCTTCCACGCTTAGAAGTTTCTGGAAAAGAAGGGACCCTCCCCTTCGATGTTTTTCAGCCTTGGGTGTTTGTGTCCCCTACTGCAATTGAAGAGGTTTCAGGTATTGCATTACAGTCAATTGGAGGTAAAGATGTGCAAAAGATGCACTATGTCTAATTCAGCTGCGTGGAGAGAAATGTGAAATGCAAGTGATTCTGAGAATGTGAGGAAGGTTTCTGATTGGTGACTGTACTTTCTCATTAGGAATGCAAATACTCCTCTCTAAAACTGTCCACGCTGATTTAAATGTATGCAAATCACTTCTGAAAAGATAACCAAGTATGGGATTTATAGATTGGTACTTACACAGGTAAAATCTGACTTTGTGTCTGATTTTACCACTCTTACTGATATTGACTGACCACATGGGCATTTGCAAACTGAATTTATAATTAACAAACTAAAATTTAAGGGCTATAATATAAATTGTTATGTCTAAATAAATGTTCTTATGTGTTTAATGACTCATTATACTGATGTTTTAATTCAAAATACTCTTTTTATGCACTTTACTGTCAAAGAATATATTCCATCACATTTTTATAATTAAATTTGAAAATTTAAATGTTTACTTACAGTGAAGTCTTATAGACTTAAGTAAACAAGTCACTAAGAGAAAAATTCTGTCCAAAGAAGTCTTTCCTTATAAATGCTTAAAATATACTGTATGCTGTTAAACTAAAGGAATGTATAATATTTTCGTAGAAACAAAAACCATGTTAATCTATTTCTAAACTTCTGGTTTTTAAATTACCTAGACTTGCAAGGAGGTTTTTTTAAATGGAAAGAATCCCTAGAGTACAAATATTTAATATCAAAATGTCAAATTCTGATACTTTGCTTGATTATAACATTTTAGAGAATACAATATAAACAAAACACCAAGAAGCTTCTTGTAAAATTAAGCTATAAGGGAATGGTTGTAATAGATGGACAGAGAGGGAGGAAGGAATGAAGGAAGGGAGGAAGGGAGGGAGGGAGGGAGGGAAGAAAAAGACTTACAAAAGCTAAAGTTAATTTCTAGGAATCACACTTAATTACAAATAATGGTACAATATGTGAAACTTAAACTATTATTTACTTCAGAGTAACAAAAACAGCTTGATTAAACTGGATTTCTATCCTCACCCCTACCTACAATTCACCTAAATTCACAATGTTTGTTTGTTTAAATAAATCAGAGCCCATTATGGTATAATATACTACTTTTACCTGGCCAAATAATTGATTGTCACATTCTGGTTTAGAGTGACAAACCAGAAAAAAATAGTTACAACATTTTTCTCAATATTAAGATAAACACACTTAATATGTTACAGCAGTTCTCAACCTGTGGGTCGCAAACAATGAAAATACATCCTGTATATCAGATATTTACATTACGATTCATAACAGTAGCAAAATTATAGTTATGAAGTAGCAACGAAAATAATTTTATGGTTGGGGGTCACCACAACATGAGGAACTGTATTAAAGGGTTTCGGCATTAGGAAGGTTGAGAACCACTGGCACTCTAGAAGATAATGTCCTCATGTAAAAACTTAAAAAAAAAGATTAACTGAAATATAATTATCATGACCTTTGACTATAAGGAGATTCCATGGGTTTGACATGATTATTAATTTCAAAACATGATTATAAAAATAATTACCATAACCACTGTCTACTTGTGTTATTGATTATATACATATAAGTTTATATTTATATACACACATATAAACAATGTTCATATGTGTATTCATTCTAAAATATTTGTTGAATTCTTTCTATATGCTAGGTTCTCTTTATTCAGAGAAGAGTTAATGGTTATATGAGTAAAAATAATTTGTTTTTAAAAGCTAACTTTTAAAATATCATGGTTATCTTATGTGAGCTAGAAGCAATTGCACTTAACAGAAATGTACTACTTTTTTATTTTTTTAATGTTGACATGTGACAGTTTAAAAATTATAAGCCACTCAAAGCAATATTCATGTAGATTTATCTGCACTTGTCTGTTTAAATCATACCAATATTCAGAAAAGCATTCATGTCTCATTTTTCAATACTATATTGTTCACAATTATTTCGTAGTCTCTCAGATCATTGGTTTGGATTCAGAATGATTACATTTTTATTAAATAGAATATATGACACTAAAATTAGTCTAAGCTTTCATTTACAGTGGAAATAATAGTATTCACAAATACTATTTGCTTTTTAAAATGATGAGAGACTTAACTTGCATTAAGTCCTTTGAGACAATAAAGAATTATAATGTTTAATAGTCAGCATCTTTGGAAGCTTGAGAAAGTCTTAAGTATTTTATTCTGATAGAAGAGTAAGTTATTCCATTTATATCTGTAATTTTTATTGTCTAAAGTCAAGGTAGAAGCAACATAAAAAGAATGTTGATCCTGTAGTGTGTCAAAACATCAGGTCTTCAAATATTAGTTTAGTAATTTGAATAGATACAATGTCTAGGTCTTTTTTGTTAATATAAAATGGAGAGATATGCTGTAAACAATACTATAATTGCCATGTCATTAACTTTAAAATATAAATTAATTAAAAGATTAAATTGTATGCTTTAGCATGGGAACAGCTAAAGTAAAAAAAAAAAAAAAAAAAAAAAAATCCACAAGGTGAAATATAGTAAATTTGAGGCCCTTTGTTTTAAGAAAATAATGTAAACGGGAAAAACACACATATTTACGTTAGAATTTTTTTCTTTGATATTACGGTGTAGTTAATATTTTTATTAAATAAGAAATTCATAGTAGTGCTGCGTATTTTACCTTATTGTCAGCATATCAAATCTTAAAAATCTCACAGAAAAAATATTAACTTGAGACTACATAAAATGAACTACAGTGTGTACTGCTGTAATACTTCATTTTGTTCTTGTGTAGTATGGTATTTTATGGTAAAAGAAAAATATATGTGTATATATATTATTTACAGAAATAATATATATGTGTGAGTGTGTAGGCTTGTAATCCAATGAAAACATCCTTTCTAGTATTTTTCTAATTCAGTAACCATTTACCAAGTGAGATTTTTATGTGCATTTGTGCTGAGCATTATGGGCAAGGTTCAAAGATTATTATATTTAGTTCCTAACCATCAAGAGTTTATGTTATATTGGAGGGCAAAGACATATGATTTATTCCAACACAAATCATTCTATAACATCCCCTA